ATGGAGATTGAAGTATTTGGTATTTTAAGAAGAACAAGCAAAGAAATTTGAAAAGCTGGAAATAGGGAGCTTTGGAGAAGGCAAAAAACTATGAAGATAGGAATGAAAAAGATTTGAAAGTAAAAGTTTGGAATGACGAAGAAAGGAGCCATTTATTGGTTTCACAACGACGGTTCAAAACTGGTAGTGGCCGACCATCGACTGATGCGCATTTAATGCCTTGGTAACTGGACCGACATCATGTTTGTTGCATACGTCACAATCTAGCTCGTCGCTGATATCACCATCCACCAAGTCAGAGTTCGGAATTCATATCGTTTCTCGTTATCTTCTTTTCGAGAAATGAGGGGACTATCTATATACGGTCAAAATCGAGTCTGCCCTTCGTATGACTAATCGAGATTGGAACATGATGGTCCAATGTTAATCATTGTAATATCGAGCCATGATACGAAGTTAGGTTATCGAGCTCGAGCCCCAGAGACCAATCAATATCGAGATCGAGTCAAGAGCGAGCTCGAGACCCAGAGACCGATCAATACCGAGACCGGCCAAGATCGAGATCGAATCAAGATCGAGCTCGAGACCCAGAGACCGATCAATACCGAGACCAGCCAGGATCGAGATCGAGTCAAGAGCGAGCTCGAGACCCAGAGACCGATCAATACCGAGACCAGCCAGGATCGAGATCGAGTCAAGAAACAAAAAAGCCGTTATAGCTGCATTTGGGGAGAGAATCTCGACGGAAATCACGGTTTAAATCAAGGAAAAACTAGTTAATTAATCTATCATGAGATCCCCACTATGTATTTTTAATTATATCCAAAATGGAATTCCCCCACTATATTAAGAGTGGTTATCATTTATAATGGGGAGGAGGGGATTCATTCTGAGATATACAGAAAATAGAGCAAATATTATCTTCTTGGGCTTTTGATATTTAGTCATATTATTTTCTATCAATCGTTCTTCACTCAATTTGGACGTGATAAAACTTGAAGGCTTAAGCTAACTAGTTCATTCGGTTTGCATTCATTTCTTTTATAACTAATTTCGATATTCATTTATATATTTTTTCTGATTGTATCAATTTATATCACGTATCCTTAGAATTATGTATAAATTCAACTCTATCCGTTTTTCAGGTAAACATATATCACAAGATTAAATCAAGAGAGTATAATACATCTAGAAGGACTAGATGATTCTCAAACTAGTGCATATTAATCAGGCTAGTATTATCGCTTTTATCAAACTAGTGCAGTCTAGATTAACTCGGCCCACTCGTTTATTAATTTGGATAAAACGGAGATCAAAGATTCATTTTCTTAGTGGCTGCCAATTTTAATTTTCTAAACCAAAGACGAAACGAGATCATTAAAGAAGATTGTTTTTCTCTTAATTTAACAATCCTCGGGCAACGTGTTATATATAAATTGTCTAGCAAAATTCGGATTCTTGAAAATATTAATTCTTCATGATAACACTAAGAAGATTCTTTGACTACAAAAGTAGCGAATTAATGCCCATCCCACGAAAAATTAGCATATATTCCATCTTTTATATGCAACCAGCAAATTGGCATTTATCTTGTCAAAGAGTTGGAACAACTATCTCTTCCTATACTGTTCCAATATATATCCTAAAACAAATGATATGGTAACACAGTTGAGGTATATAAAATTCTGAAAACGTGGACTTCCCCATACAATGCATTCAAAAGGGTAAAGTACAGTGCTGGGGAAAAGCAAATCTCAAGGTTCTGAAAGAATATAAAACTCAATCGTGATAAAGGATCATACCTTTCAGAAGATAAAACATAGAATCTATCATGCCGAAAGACGCAAAATAGATTGATTCTTGTTTCTCCATCACCGCATCTGGAAAAGAATAAAAAGCCTTTTGCTGATTTGACATACAAAGAATAATAAGGAGATAAACTATGCTACATATGTGTATTAATTCTGATCTTGGAAGTGCTTAATTTCCCACTTTGATGGATACTTATATAGGTTAGCTTCACGACAGGTCATTCAACTTTCCATTTATTGCATTAAAGTCATTAGCAAATTTTTTGAACGAAAAAAGTTACTCAATTATGTCTATATACATCACAAAAATAATTAGAAAACAAAAGTCGGAAATCCTAAATTCAATAAGGGAAACACAAGAAAGAAAGGCCGCTTACTTTAGCAACTCACCTTACATAATATTCATGTGACACTACATAGAAAAATAAAAAGAATTTAGTATTAAATTGTGCTAGAAAATAAGTTTTTTTTAAAAAAATAATATCACGTGAATGCGGAATGTGAGTTGCTGAAATAACTATACTTTATATATATATATATATANTTTATAGATTAAGTTTTAAAATTCGAATTTAAATTAAAAATAAAAATTGATCTTTTTTTTTTTATCATGGTATCATACTTAATTCGGTTAATGATCATGTTAGGAATTTTTGTTATCTTTTCTAATTATTTAAATACTACTTCGCCTCTCGCAAAAAAAAAAAAACTACTCCATATAACTATAAAATTCTCACATTTAAAACCCTATAATTATAGTTCTTTAAAACACTGTAGCTAGATTTGAATAATGCGAATTTCTTTTAAAATAAATGTAATATATAGGGTACACGTCTATGTTTATCCAAATAACAAAAAAGAGTTTAAAAATCGAGTAAAAGTTTACTTACATATATAATGAAGTAAACATACATGCTAGAGAAAGAAACATCACAAAAATCAGTCAATATTTTTAAAAAAATTATTTTTTTCTTTTCTTTTTGAAGAATATTTGTTTGAAGAGTCAATTTGTATAAATGGACATCAAACAAATAACTAAACTTTGTCTATACAATTGCTATCATTAATTTTAATTTAGCACATTCTAGGAATTGAAGGGTATAAGCTTAAACCTCTTCATTTAGCTGCAGTCAAGCCAATATTGCAAGGGTATAATATTTTTTTCGTTGAAGAATAGTTTTGAATCATTAGATTATGTGAAAGGTTTTTTTTCTCGAACTCAACGAGAGAGATATTGGTTTCTAATTGATAGTTTCTATAGCTATTTTCAAGTGTAACAAAGAGTATATTTTTTTAAAAAAATTGGTATGACGTGATTTTTTTTTTATATGTAAACAAATTATTTCGAAAAAACTCTTTACTTTTTTCTACTTCAAAGATAATAAAAATATAAGATATTTTTGAACATTTATAGAGAGTTTTTAAAATTATTATAATAGAAGTCAAATCATAGATAAACTCAAAAAACCGAAATCTTATGGAATATTTACATAAATATCCGGCCAGATTTATTGCTTACTTTTTATAGCTAATATAAATAGATGATATACCGACAACACACGATTATTCACATATTATATATGGATTATATATAAATTACACATCATTCAATATTTTAATTTAAGTGGTCGGGCGAGCACCTATTTAGGCTAATTAGAAAAATATGAAAGAATTTCAACCAAAGACTAAAAATATAAATAAAGTTCTTATGTAGACAATTTCTATTAAAACTCATATGTTTATAGTGAAATAAATTAGTTTTTTGTAACAAAAGAAAGAATGACATAAAAAATAAGATAAAAGAAAATAAATATTGAAAAAAATGTATGAAAGATTTAAAAACCAGAAATAAGAGACGACAACGAATTTCTTCTTATGTTTCATCTTTGTTGAATATAAACAATTTGGTAGCTAATCTCATCGATTTCAAATATTATTTTCAGCTCAAATTCATAGATTATAAGATAAGGATATGTTAGAATATTCTTTTTATTTATATTGTGTGTCGTTTTTAAAAAATCACTATTACTAACAAACTGATATGATATTCGAATTCGAATTTAAATGCAATTTGAGTAGTTTGCATTGAGGTTAAGCCAAGTATGGTGTCAAAAATAAACTACTTGGCAATTTTAAAACAATATATGCAATGTTATATAATAACAATCAACTAATTTAACATTTAATGATTCAAAGAACATATTTTTTGTATATATAGAGTATTACAAATTCAAAATCTGTGACTAGAGATATCAATAAACTAAAATGGAGTCATACTGAAATAAAAATTCTCTGGCTAAAGAATCATTTAAATTTTTAGATAGCCGATTAAAGTGAATTTAAATTAATGATAATATCTTCACTTGCATCATTAAAAAGATAATCATTATTGAAATATATATAAAGTTTTAGAAATTGGAATTTCAAAATAGAAATATTTTTTGAAAGATAATATCATACCAAATAAGAGTTCAAGTCGTAGTAAAAGAGTCACGTCGTAACCAAAGAATCGTTTATATTGTGTCAACCTTTGTGCTTTGCCATAAATATGAGTTATTATTTCGCTTTGTGGCTATTTTTAGGTTCCAATGACACCAATGAGAATAGTACAAAAATAAAATTATCACTGCGAGATTTGAGAAAATATTAGTCTTTTTTCATGTAGTGTTTCGTAATTAATATCTAACGATTATCTATAATTATTTAGAAGGCTTAAATTTTAAGGTTATTAAGGTTTAATTCAAATAACTCAGATATTTAACATGGTTAATGTCAAAAATCAAAATAGAGTCATATTGGAAAAAAGAATTTACTGGCTAAAGAATTTTTAAAATTTTTAGATAGCCAACTAAAATGAGTTTTGAATTAAGGATAATATTTTTACTTATATTATTATAAAAATAATTATTATTAAAAAAATAAAGTTTTAAAAACTGAAATTTTAAAAAAGAAATATTTTTAAGAGATATCAACGCACAAAATAAGAGTTCAAGTAGTAGTAAAAGAGTCAAGTCGTATCCAAAGAGTCATTCATAGTCTCAACATTTGATTGTTTTGCCATAAATATGAGTTATTATACAACCCCTTTTTAGTGAATAATATGGATGAATAACTGTATTTTTTAATTTGCTGAAATTTGGACGCCGTGAAACTACCCGTTATTTATATGCCTCCTATATATATCTTGATCAATCCACTCAATAATATTCAGAAACAAGGAACAAACGACTTTCATATATCTTAGCTTGACACCCTGCTCTTTCATAATGGACAGCAGGAGATGCAAATGCAACTGGTGCGGCACGAAAATGTCAGCTCCCATTGGAGCACAAACCATTTCCTGCCCAAGGTGCCAATCTGTTACACAACTCCAACCTCCAAGAAACAACAACGGCTTTGCCAATGGGGTTATTAACAATATTGTGGGCGCAGTAGTTAACACAGCTTTTTCTGCAAGGCCAGGAAGGATGAATCCAAATGCCAATAATTCTCAGCCTCAACCGTTCAACATGTCACCACAGATTACTATGCGACCTCCAGCGGTGCATGGCCGAAAACGAGCAGTTCTCTGTGGAATTACTTACCGTGGTCATTCCAAGAGTCTGAAAGGAAGCATTAACGACGTTTTATCCATGAGATATCTTCTGGTTGAGAAGTTGGGTTTCCCCAATGCATCTGTACTTGTCCTTACAGGTATCTCCAACAGTTCAAAAAGAGGCAGCCTCGGTGCACAAAGCATCCTGCATTCACGTAGGATCTGGGGAAGAGCCGCACCCAAATGGGCGTGATGTAGACAGCCTAATTAACCTAATGCAAGAATTAGTAGCTGCTTCCACGGCTCGAATCCGTGACCTATAGGTCATATGGAGACAACTTTACCGTTGTTCCAAGGCTCCCCTTCATCTTAACGTCTAAAAATTAAACGCTTATGTTACTACTCCCTCCGTTCCCAGTTATTGTCTCCTATATTCTTCATTCTTTCTTTATCAGATTTCTAACATATAATACATAAAATGTTGCAGAGGATGAGAAAGATCCATACAAAATCCCAACCAAGGGCAATATCAGGTCAGCCCTACGTTGGCTTGTTCATGGTTGCCAGCCAGGAGATTCACTAGTGTTCCATTACTCTGGCCATGGCACACGAGTAAGAGACCGCGACGGTGATGAGGTTGATGGGCATGATGAATCACTATGCCCTGTTGATTTTGAGAGTGAAGGAAGAATACTAGATGACGAGATCAATAATACCATTGTTAGGCCTTTACCTCGTGGAGCCACACTTCATGGCATAATTGATACTTGCTTCAGTGGAACTTTCCTAGATTTGCCATTTATGTGCAGAATAAACAGGTTATTGAATTCCCCTTTTGATGCTTTATGCAATGAAACTTTAAATTGATCAAAATGTTTTCAAGCAGGGCGGGATACTTTATGTGGGAAGACCATCGTATCAGCACATTCAAAGGTACCAGAGGAGGAACAGCAATCTCTATCAGTGCCTGTGATGATCATCAAAATTCTGGAGATACAACGGTTAGTATCCGTATATACAAATTGCACACCTACTCTTATATTGACACTAAAATCTCTAAACAAATTAAAAAGACTACTGGTAAACACCAAACTAATGTAAGTATACTAACACGATTAAGCCGTTATCATAACTAGTTTGTGTTGCCTGCCTGTATAGGTCTTTTATTTCTATTGTGTTCTGCTATGTACTAAGCCACAAAGATTTCGAGAGATTATAGATACGTTCACTTTTAACACCTTCAATCATCAAATTGTCGCACCTTGGACTTCTGCAGGCTTTCACAGGCTTTCCGACGGGTGCCCTGACATATAGTTTCATCAAAACATTGGAGCAAGAAACTAAATTGACCTATGGACGCTTACTTATGAGTATGCACAATAAGATTCATGAAGCACAGAAAGGAGTAGGCATGAATGGTGCAAATGAAACTCAGGTACGCTTTTATGAGATTGTCATAAAAAATTCAGTGCAGCATTGCATCATCATCGTCTAATGCATTTTATTGGTCTCGCCCAGGAGCCTCAACTATCCGCCTCTGAGCAGTTTGATATTCACTCGAAGATGGTGGCTATATAGGAATTGAAGTATCCAACTCCAGCCCGAGTACAACTTCCCTGGCATAATCTTGTTATAATAAATCTCAGAACTTCTTTTACCATATTTGGTTAAGTAATGTGTGATGAAGGGCTTCAGTTGCGTGTAGATTCACTCTTATACTAATGTTTTGAAGTGAATCATTGTCATATATTTCCCTATAAACTTTAATAACACTGACTAAATTTCCAGATGGAAATTTGCTCAGAATAGATCGTCTACTGATACATGTTGTCACATTCTTCAGACTTCAAATATCGATTTGTTTTCTAATTCCAAGTATATCAATACTACAATACTACAACCTTATTACAAATTCTGTCAAAAGCTCCTAAAATTGATCATGATGTGCAGCATGATCCTTACTGGATCACATAATCCTGATTCAATTGTTGACGCCACTTAAAATGGATAGCTGATGAGGATAAAAGTCGTATTTCTGTATAATCAGATTAATTTGACAGGGAACTTCAAACTTGCACTGATATATCAGAAATGAACATTATCTATCAAAATCTTCAATGGAAGATATTGTAGTTAGATCCATATTTGATTAAACCAGGCCAGATTCTAATGTTGACGAATGATGATGTACATAAAAGGGATAAATAGTGAAATCAAATGTTGCATTTCTGTATAAGAAGATAACAGTTAAACTTAGATAAATGATGTATGAACCAACACAGAGACTTGGCTTATGTTGCTGCTGCTGATGTTGTGTGTGATCACAGGCAATAGTAGTTATCCTAGTAAAATTTATTGAAAGAAGTTAGTTATGAGGAAAGTTTCTATATCTATATTTTACGATAAAGATGAACTTTGAAATCTTCGAAAACCATAAGAGAGGTCAAATATATATAATCTGCAGGAAAGAAAATTTGAGGCCTGAAATTAAGTAAACGCTTCTGCTCAATTTGCTTTGAATTCAAGCACTATATAAACACAACCAAACGTGCATATGCATGTAAGTGTGCTTTCGACTTGTAAATTAAACTACTAGAAAAACTAAAATAATTACAAAACATAGCTAGCTGATACAAATCTTACTTTGGACCTTCATAAACACAGCACTATAATCTTTTCCTCCACTTCACATTCTGCGCCACCCATTAGCTAGAGACCCCTTCCTTGCCAGAAAGATGAGACTCCATCAATCTAAGTCGAAGGTTCTTTTTAGAAAATTCAGTGAAGCAAGAGCTTACGAGAAGCGGTGCACCAGCGAGTGTAGCAATCATGGAGATTTGGCCAGTCAGAAGAAGGGCAATAGGTAAAATGGTGAAGCCAGAGGGACAAGACCTTTTCTTGCTCCTCTTCTTGTTCCAATGTTCCAATGATCTGCTCTAGTATTCTTTCAAGCTCAGCCCTTTCACTAATGCTCAAGACTGGAGTGTCTGTGCCATTGCTTGCTCGGCATAGCAATGGCAGCCATGACATCAGCATGTTCATGTTTGTCCGCCTTAGATGCTCTTTCGTACTTTCTTCATCCTCTGCATCTTTTCCTATTTCTCTGGCTTTCTTGAATAAGAAAGCTAGAAAGGAGCACAAAAACATAAAGAGAAATTCAGAACATGGCACTTTTACTATCCCAAAACGCAATTAAAGAAGAGACATGGTGATTATTTTATGCCAACCAAATATCAAATACAACAGAAATTCAAGATGAGATGTAGTAACACAATAAAACTACTCTGAGAATACATAATAAAAGTTTTCTCTGTGCAATGAAAGATCAATGGTGAAGACGCTTAATGTTGGGAATGGAAAGAAATATTGCAGCGAATTAGATCCAAGTGCACTGAAAATGTTAACTGGTAGAACCAACACTTAATCTAAGGCATATGAAAGCATTCAGGCTTATGAAGTTACTACTACTATCTAAATATCCTACTGCAGTACAAACAAGGGCATATCCAGCATAGCAGTGCGAGGTTCATTTTGAACCTAGTAATTTCGAAGCGGATAGAGCATAAATTTATGTGTAAAAATTATCTAAAATAGGAACAAATAGCATATATGAACCCATGACTTTAACAATATAATGAGTTCGAACCCACAAAATTCAAATCCTTGATCCGCCTATGAGTACAAGCATTCTGCTTTGGATGGTTGTTACATATGTTTCATAACCTTTTGTATTGTATTATTTTGATACTACATTCGCTTGAGGATCACATTAGATGAGTCTTTATACATTTTTTTTCCAAACAGATACATACTGCAGGTATAGCCAAAAAATTGCGAAAATTAGAAAATGTAATCAAAGAATATTCCATAGAAAATTACCTGAAAGTTTAACAAGAGACCCCTGAAGCTGCGCCTCAGCAGAAAGAGAAAGCCAAGCTAACTGTGAAGCCGAAGCCCACATATAAACAGCTTCATCAACACAACCACAAACTGCCATCTTCTGAGCCAACCACAGCAACTCCGCCGCCAGCTTCTCAGCCGAGCATCCGAATTGTCTCAGCTGGTTCCTCGCCCTACCCCGTTGCCACACAACGTCACCATAATACCTAATCGCCCTCAATCCGCGGCTCAACTTACCGATGTAATCGCCACCATCCCCACCGGACACAATTCCGCCTTCTTCCGCCGCCACGGCGGCTTCAAGCTGACCAAGCGTCCTCGTAAAAGCCGCCGACAAGGCGGCGCAATTCACTTCCCTTAATGCTTCGTTACCCTCTAAGAGATTCTCATCAATTAGCCTCTCGGCCAGTGATCTCACGACCTCATATTTCCTAGAACTCACCGGAATATCATTCGCAATTGACAACACTTGCGTCAACGCTCTCGATATCCCCGACTCTCCGCCGCCGCCTCCCACGGCAGCCGGAGAATAAATCTCACCCTTTTGAGGCTTCAAAGGGTAGGTGTTGTAATTTTCTCCAGAGGGAAAAAGTTTAAGAAAGAAGAGAAAAGCTTGGATAAGGAACCAACGTACAAATTCGAGAAGTTTGTATTTTTCTGCTAAGAGGAAGAAGGGTTTATCAGCGAAGATAAAAGCAGATGTTAATATGTTTCTCAAAAGCAAAGGGGCTATGGAGGAAGAACTGCTCTCCGTCATGGCCCCTCCGTCGGAAAATTCGCCTGAACTGCTGGGTGGTGAATGACAATTATGAGAAATTTGAGGGCCAAGAAAACGCATTATAGACAAATCATGGGAGACTAATTTTGGACCATAAAAACATTTTACATCTCACGCATTGCATGCAAATCTTTCTGCTGTCGTTGTCAGCAGTTAATTTACCCGGAAAATTCTTTCAAACGGCGGACGGTACAAGGAAAAAACAAGAGGGTTAAAAAAGAATAATTGGAAGAATGTTCCTTTGGCACTGCTTGGAATTGGGGAAAAAGGAAATGAATATGAGGTGTTGAATAATAGAGTCGATTATTTGCTATTTTTAAGGGCAACGAGATTTTAGCGTAATGGTCAAGATTTAGAATTTAGAATAATGAGAGTAAATCTCCCGACCTTTAATTGGTAATCAATATTGTCTATATTTATGTTGGTTGTTACCAAAAAAGGCTAGCGCGTATGATTTGTCTTTGTAATTGGTCAAAGAATCGGGCTAGGTCCATGTTCATGCTAGGAGATTCTTCTGAATGGTAATAAAAAATTCAAGTAACACTAATATAGGTAAAATATATTTAAGAAACAAAGTTATGTATATTAAATAGTGAACCATTTGAGTTTGACAGACATAACACGTTCGGCACTCCAGCTGTGGTCAAAATTGGTTTATATTAAAACCGGCGGATCGCTCATTTGAGTTTGGATTTCTACATTTGTAGTATTCTTGGCTTCCTTTTCCTTTTAAAACGAAGAGGATTCAAATGGGGGAAATTAATTTAGAGTAGGAAAACAACTATGGCAGACGTAATTACCAATTAGAGTAATTATATTGGAAATGAACAGAAGGAGGGTCTCATCAGCAAAATTTCCATTTGCAAATGGCAGGTAAAGTCAACTTGCCAGAAGTGTTTAAAACTAGGTTACCTAAGCCGCAATTTTGTTTGAGGTTACATTGCTCACTAATTAGAAAGTCAGACAATTTTTAATTAGACTTTGATTTTAGATATACTTTATATTTTTTAATTAATTAAATTTTGTATTTTATAACAGAATTTTATGTAGATTTTGGAAGAAATTAAAGAAGGAAAGTAGGAAACTACGAGAAATTAAATTGAACGCCTGTTGCCAATCTTTTTGGTAAACCTACATTGGCGGTGATAGGTGGCAGAATTAATCATAACAGCAAAAACTATCTGCGATCTTAACCTTTACAGTGATTTATTACATGAGTTTCAGCCTATGACAAGTTGGTACGTTAAAGACATCATTGTTATTCCCGGTCAATATTGCTGTATTTGTAAATATTAATTCTGCAAAATATAAGTTAACGTAATGAAACAATAATAATAAATTCGAGCCCACTGAATTCACAGTGTTTCCTTAAGGAATTTAATCCCCTCCTAGTACCCAAGGTAATGGATTATTTCCTCCCAGGATAGAACGAAT